GTATGATCAGACACTCATCCTCCCCACAGCGCTTTGATTTCTTTGCGAGGCAGTCACCCATATGTCTGCTCTGCACTGAACCCATTCAATTGAACCCAACTAAAATGATGAAAATTATTGCAGGAGAGCATGCTGAGGGAGGGGGAACTGCTGCTTAGAATTTACAAAAGTACAGTATTAAGCTAGAGAGAGATTTAAGCAAGGGTTAAAGTAGTATATAGGAGTGAGATCATTTTCATCACAACAGTTTTAAAACTATTTAAGCCAGTGCAAGTTTTCTAATATAGATGAATCTTTACCTTAGAGGAGTATGCAGTTAAGAGTCCCCATCCCAGGTCAGCCAAGACGAGCAGAAAATGCCTAGTTTCCAAAAAGACTGAGGTGGATACTTCTCCATCTCTTTAGGTAGGCACTAGGCTCTTGTTTCAGAGCCTAGTTTCAACTGCAGGTCATCTTCCTTCTTTAATAGCTTTTCCTGAAACTAAATTACTTTTTACTCCCAAGACTGACAGCCAGTGGCTGTGCTCAACAGGTAGCAATATTTCTTCTTTTCATCATGCTACTACCTACTATGGTAGTACAGTGCACTCCTTTACATGCCTTCCCAATTTATTGCCTCTTGCTTACTACCTTTTAACAAGCACCCTTTATGGTTATATCCATTAAGTGCATTAGCATCTTTGTAATGTAATTGTGTTCTGATTAACTACATAGAAATAGTGAGAGGAAAGCAGCTCTCTCAAAGGGCTGTTACTAGAAGCCGGGACATTAACTAGAGCTAGTTTGTTTCACAGCTACTAAAACTGGGGCACTGTACACTTCATAGATATGGTTTACATTTTATTAACGTAGGGGCATATTCTGGATAAGTGCAAAGCCTTTTTTTTATTCCAAGGTACTCGCTTAAACAGAAAACACCATAGCTACAATGCATCTCATTGGACCACACCATTCTAACCTTCAAATCTGCAACTGCCAACTACTCTGAAAGGGTAGGGGGCAGGGGTGAGGGGGGGACACGGACGAGAGAAAAAAATAGGACATCATAATGATCCAAACCATCCTTTCTTTCAGCCACACCAGTTCCACACACTCAAGGTAATAGCACAAAAAGGTTAGTAAGGGATGATAAAGTTTTTACTGAACACCATGCTACTAAGAGCAGGTGCTTATCTCCTTCTCCCCACCCTCAAAAAAAATACCAAAGATAACTCTGGAGCTAAACTGTACTATTGTTGCAGGTTATAACCCCCATGAAGGCAGGTATTGTGGTGAGATGTATTTTCCAAATCCCAAGACTAGCTTTAACAGTGGTTTGATGCATGGGCTTAAGGCAAATGTCACTCGGGCTTTATCTGTAAAACTGGACCAACCTCCAAAGTCTGAAGCCTGTATTTGAAGAGGGTTTTGTGACTATCATAGGCCCACATTTTATAATGTTGAAGAGGCAGAGCCACCTGTGTTTAGGCACACTTTGAAACTGCATATGCAAATGATTTACAACTGTAAATCACAGGAATTGAAAGCCCACATCAGGCACAATGCCTCAGGCTAACCATATAAACCAACTACTAACTACCTCCCTTAATACCAACTGGAACTGGATTCCTGCTTTCCGACAGGGATCTTCTCTCAGCCAGCCGGGGTCCACAAGTATGATCACTTAAGCAAGTGCAGCACCAGAAGTGGCAGAACAACCAGCCCCAAACATACTTGGTCAGTGAGCCAGTAAATAAAAAGTAAGATTGGCTTAAAAGTGTGTTTAGATGTTGGGCTCTTTTCCATCATCTTCCGATTTCTGAGGTCACATATTCAAGCTTTGCACTGATGAGTGCCACAGTCACCTTAAAAAAAAAAAAGGTGAGAATCTCCCATAAACATTCAACTCCTGGAGATGGGGTTTTTAGGCAGACACCAAATATCAGAAGACGGGTGAGAAAATTGCAGAAGTTAACAACACTGCAGTTGCAGCTTCCTTCAGTTTCATGTAAGCTTTGTTCCCAGATGCTTATTCCTCTTGGTTTTCCCACTCAAAACATGGTATCACTGTCTCAAATAGGCTGGGTTCAGGATTTTTTAATTATTTACATCACCAGATGGTTCCAACTACAGGTTCTCTGTGGAACACAGTAGTGTTAACAACGAGTTCAATGAATTCAGGTCCTAAGGATTTAGTTGAATTACATATACATGCTGGCACTTGCAACAGGGCTTAGCCTGCGTTGGCAAAGTTGCATAGTTGCTTCCTGACTGAACCATAACCTGCAGACTTTTGGTACACACCCCATTTATTACATGTATATTAAAAACTCTGGTACTCAAACACCTGGTCATGGCCTTTGTGCCGGCACCAGCAACTTTGAAAGCAGATTTAAGTATCAGTTAGCTAGCAGTGCAATTTGGTCATAGACATGGAATAAGGGTGACATCTAGTGGCTACAGAGAGGTAGTGTCTGCATAGATTAGCACGTGGACTTCCTCTTCTCAAATCAGTAATCATTTACACCATATTAATATTGCTTTCCTTAGGGTTCCTAGTGGATGTGGCACCATATTCTATGAAGAGGGAATCTTGCACTACACAAAGTACTGTACAACTGTGGATGGTCCTCCAAACTGCATTCCACATTGTGAACAAGGGATGACAATGTCAAACGGTCACAAATTCCTCCGTGACTGTTTCAAGCTGGACACAAGGAAGAACTTCTTTACTGTCCGAGCCCCCAAGGTCTGGAATAGACTGCCGCCGGAAGTGGTTCAAGCACCTACTCTGGACGCTTTCAAAAGACATCTGGATGTTTATCTTGCTGGGATCCTATGATCCCTACTGCCTTCCTACCCCTGGGGCAGAGGGATGGACTAAATGATCTTCCAAGGTCCCTTCCAGCCCTAATGTCTATGAAATCTATGAAAATCTAAATCCTTATCCCTAAGTATGGAACTAGCAAAGAGAGGAATAAATGTTCCTTCTCCTTCTCCCCCAAGCAAGTATTGATCCTGTCCCTGGGATGCAACACCTACTGTACAAACTGGAGATGTGCAATGCTTTGATGAGCTGGTACTGGCAAATATACTGAAAGAGTCCAAGGAATGAGGGAAAAAAATGGCAAATAAAATTAGATTCCACATCTTAAAGTCTAGCTCTTTTCCAGCAACAGATAGCCACTCACACAAGGAAAAGGACTCACTGCAAATTTAAATACATCTGGCAGACCCTTAGCTACCTAAGTGTAGGAAAATTCAAGAGACAGTGGACTCCAGACACATACTGACGAAAGAAGCCAGTTGCCTCTTTGGGGCTCCTGACAGAAGAAATGCAAGTTTAGTTTGACGTCACTGATTTTGCCTTAATTGAGAGATCACTTCACTCTCCTAACAGTTTTCCAATAAACAGCCACTATTTTGTCATCCAGATACAGATCTAGGACAGGCTGATATCATAATAAACTAGAGGTGCAAAACTAAGCAGGGAAATATTTTCCACAAATTCTCATCTCATCTCTCCCACTAGGCATGGGAGAACCGTAAGTACATAGCCACGAGCCAGTAAGGACACTAGCAAGTGATATCACAGAACTCACTTCCTGCCTGCAAATCATTATTAGAAATAGCTGATACCATATTCCCTAGCTAAACATGCCATTCAGGGCAGTACTTCAGACCTGTAGCTACACTTTCTCCCTTCTGCAAGAAAGATGTAGAGGAGACCACAGACTCCAACACTGCCCCTGGGGCAAGACACTACTCATAGGTTACATTTATGAGACATTTAATGCCCACTGAACTAATTCTACTGAGCATCAGTGTGGCTGGCAAGAAGTGTGCTAATGCACAGATTAGTCCAATGGGCATTAAGCATCACAAAAAAGCATTCATCTGCACTAATGTGCAGTAGCACCTGTTAACAGCACATTTAGAACCTGTTATTACAGGTACTAAAAATGTTCCATAATTACAGCACATTAATGAACACGTAGATGCACCCATAGTTTAGTAAAAGGGAGGAAAAGACTACAGACAATGGAAAGTCTCAAGCTGTCCCCTGCTCTGCAACTCACTCACATGCAAGTGGAAGCCTGAACATGTTACATCTCAATTCATACTAAGAACTCAACAGTAGGAAGCAGGAAAAATAGAGGTGTTTAAAGTGTAACAGGCTGAACGGGTACACTCCAAAGCATATTAGAGAACTTGAAAAATGCTGTCTCTGGCTTTTAGCTACTTCTTTTAAAGCAGTATTTTGCACAGGAGAATCAACCCATTGCTTTTTTTTTTTTGGTTATTAACATAATGTGGAAACACCATTCAAGATAGAGCCATCTATTTCTCCTGCTGTAGGCAAATATGCACAATCTACTGGAAATCACATTCCTTAATAGCCAGCTCTACAGTTTCCTTTACATTCTTTATGCTTTGGATTTGGTAGCCTGGTCCATTAGTATCACTTCCAATGTTACACACCAGTACTTGATAACATACTAGCCTGGAAGATGAGGAACTGCAGGGAGAGAGGAGGAGAACAGAAAGAAACAAAGCGTTTCTTCAAGCAAACATCAAAAATGTTGCCCCCCTCCAGAACACAAATGCAGGTATCCACAGTGGCTAGAGCAAGAGGTAGAAAGAGGATGAGGAAGAGTGGGACAGAAGCCCTACATTTAAAAAGCTCTTGTAATCTGGTGAGACAGGATGGACCAGCCTACCGGCAAGACCCTACTCTTGAATCCACCACAGACTGAGTTGCAACCCAGTGTAAAAAAATGACTTCAGATGAGAAACTGCATCAGACTCCTCAAATGGAGAAGCTTGATCACATAGGGTTCTCTGCAGTGAATCCCAACTGCTTTTTTCTTCTTTAAAGTATTATCTTTAATTACCACACAGCTTCCCAAATTCACCATACCTTAAACAAATATGAGAGGACACCCCCTAACCAAACTCACTGGGGTCTCAATTGTATCATTTTGAAATTAAGTTGTCTCATGTCAATAACACAAGTTAGCTGAGATGCTAAGAAGTGTTTTTATTGCAAGCACAGCGAGCAGAGAGTGAGTTGCTTATGTGGAGAGTGACCAAAGATCGATTTCAACCAAAACCCTCTTCAGTATTAAATGCCCATTGCAGTCAGGTGTACATCATCTCTGCCATGTGAGACATTTTCTTTGGAATATACAAGTAATATTCCAAGTATCCTGAAAGATCTTCAATAGTCACATCATCCACATAGGCCCTGGCTTGCTCAGAGCAAGATCGTGGAGAGCTTGAAGGAGTTCGGGATGCCAAAGGCTGAGAGTGGTCCTCAGTGACTGTTCTTCTCTCAGGTGGCAGTGGGAGAGCGTTCTGCAAGCCGGAGAATTTGTACACTTCCATGTCTTGCCACCGCCTACACTGGCAGATCTTGTCCATGCATGCACATGGCTTGCTCATGTTTTGCTTGGACACAGACTGAAAGTCAGAAAGATCTGTGGTCTTTAAACTTGCTTTGACTGTTAGAGAAATGGCAGTAGGAGAATTATTCACTTTGTTTTCTGGCACTTGCTCTGTAACAAAAGCCAAAGACTCGGTACCAACTCCTTTGGGGCCAGCATCATCGACATGAGTACTGGATTGTTCCTTTACACAGATTTCCTTTGCTTTGTCCAGAGGGTCAGCTGGGCTCTTGCATACTAACTGGCTGCATGTGGAAGGTGGTTTGGTACTGCAGTGAATAAACTTAGGAGGAAGAATCGGAGACTTGGAACGCCTGCGGCGCTGGGTTCTCACTGCTCCTCTTGAAGGTTTCCTCATAGACCTAACAGTAGAAAATACACAAGGGAGTTTTATTCAGTTGCCAGTTGCAAGTACTCTTCCACTTCTGTGAATTAGGACAGGCTGCTAAATGAATGAATGAATAGGATTTTTTAAGAAGGAATGTAGGAGGTAAAAAGGGTATTTAAGAAAAGTTGTCTTTCATGCTAGCATAAGAGCAGCACAGAAATAACAGCAAATCAAGAATGGAAGAAGGATAAACTAATACTTTAGCTATCATTTGAAAATGTAAAGCATGAAATACACACAAAACATTAGGGAAACAGAGGCAAGGGACTCAGAGACAGAACACTGATATAGACAGGATGCTGAGTGATTATGTAATGGCATTCATGGTTTAAAGTGACACATGCCACAGTAGCAGCTTATTGGATACATGTATACTTCATTTCAACCCAGGTGTGGCTGAAGAGTTTAGAGCTTCACAGATGACACAGAAATGTTTCACTTGAACTTTGTAGCTTTAGAAACAATATCAGTGACAAGGGCTGGGCAAGGAAATCCAGTAATTTAAAAAGAGAAATGGAAAAATGCAAAACATTTTGCAAACAAATGTGCTGAGGATCCTAAATCAGCAACAGAATCAGGTACTAGATTTCAGCCCAGTGTGTTCACATTTCCAAGTCTTGTCAATCACAGGTTGCTCTTACCCATGCCAAGTTTCTTTAGAGGCACATGTGGTCTTGGGTTTGCTTTCATCAGTAGTTGTTCTAACCAATGCTCTTGTACTTGTCCCTTCACCCTTCACAGAAAGGGCAGCAATAGAGCTGAAAAAGAATGTATAATAGTCCCATGAATTATGTTCTTTTTTCTCATTTTTTGAATTATGTCAAGATAGACTGGAGAAGTTTTGAATCTCCTTTCCCAAAACTTGCTCATTTTATGTAAACAGTACTGCCTGAAGCAAACTGCTTGCAGAGGATCTCTTAGAAGTCATTCTTTCAACCCCCCTTGACCACTGAACCATTAAAAACGGGGAAAATACAAGTGTTCTAAGTCTTAATAGGTTAAAATTCTGTGGTGAACATATATAAATTAAATAATCAAATACTTGTACCATTGTTCTGTAGTAACATTTGTACTGTAGTAACATTTTCCCCTCTCACACATCTTTTCACTACTCAAGCCACATAATGTTCAATAGAGGTGTGCAAAGTGAGCCCTATTCAATTTGGATTTGGCCCAAATCAGGGACAGTGATTTGATTTGTTGATTCGGATCGCTGTCCCTGGTTTGATTCAGCTGAATCTGAAGATTCGATGCTGATTTGGAGAATCAGAGATCTGGACATAGACACAGCTTTAAAGGTTTTTTCTACATACCTCAAGGTACCAGCGTGGCTTGTGAAAGCTGCGATGCTGGGGCGCATGCCGAGCACGCTGGGGATCCCCCCACACTTCTGTGGGACACTCCATGCGCCCCAGCACTGCAGCACTGATGAGTTGCTTGCTACCTAGAGGTATGTAAAAAATCCATTTAAAGCTGTGCCTGTCCAAATCACCGAATCTTTCCAAATCAATTCAGAGATATTAAAGCAGGAGCAGACAATTATTTTGGGTGGAGGGCCGCTTACCGAGTTTTGGAAGCCATCGAGGGCCACATGACAGGCAGCTAGGGGCAGATAAATATTAATTTTCTATATTTTTAGGGGCCCCGCAGGCCAGATAGAATGGCTTGACAGGCTGCATCTGGCCTGCAGGCCGCATTTTGCTTACCCCTGGATTAAAGGGTCCTCTGGGTCGATTCAGAGATTTGGCCACCATAGTGGGGGCTATGGGAAGATTTTATATGCAGGTTTCTTTGAAGTGTGATTAAATACTAAACATCATTCTCTCACTTACTGAAAACTGATTTAAAAAAGTAACTGAAGTGGCTGCTGTTTGGCATCCAGCTTTTGGCCACAACTATTATAATTTTCCCAGAGAAACAGACTCTGAAGAAAATACCATTTTTTCAGATGGACAGATAAAAAAAAAAGTCTTTCCTTTACATAAACAAAACCTATTTATATCTAAGGAATATTTAACTAGAAATACAGTACTAGTATCTGTGTCCAGGGGGAGAACCAACTACAAGAAACTCTTTGCAGCATTACAAACGTGGCCAAAGGAGCTACGGAGTGATAGCATATTACAATCTCAGGGCCCTGGAAGATTTACTTAGCTCTCAGACCCACATTTTCAAAGCTGAACACACTTAATTACTACTATTGTGTACATAGTTACTCAGCAGATATGCGCAAATTAGACTTGCAAATTTGAAAGTTTAGGCCCATGTCTGCAATCTCCTAGGAAGTCCCTTTGTTCTGAAAAAGTCAGGTTGGGAAAGTGCGTGCACACTTTCAGCAGCTAAAGAAACCATTTGTACACCCTTCCGTAAAAGACACAGCAGAGAACACCAAGGGGAGCGTGATGTGCGGTCTATTAGTGGTATAATATGAAGAAAATCAGTCATTCCTTAGTTAAAGGCAGCAAAGAGCTGGGGCTGAGTTGCAGTTTAAAGACAAGGAGATAAAATGTCACACTAAAGCAGAAGGGCTAGAGGACAGACCTTGGGCAGTCAGTGGGGTATCAACAGAGGTGCACCAATACATTGGTCCAACATTAGATCAGCACCACTGTAAAGAAAATAGGCTGTATCGGAAATTGGCCCGATGTGGCTGATAATGTGGCTGATACATAAATGGCCTGTGCATGCATGCAGCTGCAGTGCAGCACATAGGTGGTGAGAAGCACATCCCAGCTAAGTGCAGCTGGTAAGTTGTGGTAGAAGGGGAAGGGGTGTGAGGGGGAGAACCGGATCAAGGCCCCCACGATGATTAAGGGAGTGGGGCTGGGACAGCAGCTGCTGCCCAGCCGGTGTGAGACAGGTGTGGGATGGAGCCACGGCTTGTCTGGGGAGTGCAGGGGGGAGGGCACTGGGTGGGGGGGAAGAGGGAGGAGTGCCCCCTGGACCTGTGTGGGGCAGGCTGCAGCTGTGGGCTGGGGCCGGGACTGTGCTGGGTTCTTCATAGCGGGGGCTGGGCCAAGTTGTGCTCAGGGTGGACGGTGCTGGTGCTGGGAGTGGGGGCTGGAGAGGGGGGCTATGGCAAATTTTGAGGTGCCTGCAGCCACCTCCCTGTAGCCCCCACCCAGTGCCGCCACCGCCCACCCCAAGCCCAGCCCAGCCCCTCCCCCCCACCCCCAGTGGCAGCCTGCCCAGCACAGATCCAGGGCGCATATGCACACCCCACCCCCGTGCAGAAGTGGGAGCTGCCCTACCCTCCCCATGCCCCCTGGACATGGCTCCATCCCATGCCCAGCCCCGGCTGGGCAATGCCTGCCCTAGCCCCACTTCCTCCCTCACCATGGGGGCCTTGATCTGCTTCCCCCACGCCCCTTCTTTCTCCACTCCCCTTCCACCACAACAGACTTACTAGATGCATGCAGGTCTCCATTCTATATCGGAAATTGGACTGGCATTGGCTGATATGCCTCCTTAAAAACTGGCCATTGGTATTGGCCCCAAAAGTCTACATTGGTGCACCCCTAGGCATCAGTAAAGCTTAACCAGAAGAAAAAAAAGCTCAGCCAATAGGATCCATGCTCACTCTGTTTTCAGGAAGAGATTACATAACATCAGGCTAAAATATTCAGCTCACTTGACAAACAAGACAGCTCTGAGCCACTGTCATGACATGAGACTAATAGGAATTTATGATACAATAACCTCATTTCCCTTAGTCACAAGTATGATTCATTCCTTCCACTCCAGTGTTCATCACAGCTCGGTTCCCTACAGTTTTTCAGTATCCAATCTACAGATCATCTTTGCACTTTGGTTTCATTACATGGGACTTTTGTGGAAAGTCCAAATACTATTCAGTCATGTTTTTACCAGGACTGAGTCACAGCTATTCCAAGCTTACCAAAGTGGTCTTATCCTTTGCTGTTTTAGGCTTCTCCTAACACACACAAAATAAAAATGCTAGACACATTTTACCACACTCCAACACTGGAAGACTCTTTGTGCAGATTAGTTTGAAAGCCACTGTTACTTACAAAAATTTACTCTTAAGTACTTTAAAATGAAGACAAAGCCCATATTTCTAGACAGAAAATAAAATGAGCATGGAGAGCAGAAATGAGTCAGAGAAGGGAATACACAGAATCAGCGTTACAGTCAGGATGACAATTCAGATTGGAAGTATTTTACCTCAAAATCACTATGTTCTAAGAATCTTTACTTTCAGGTCTCATTAATTATTTGCCAGGCGCTTGAAGTTATAGGCACTGAAACATTTCATCATACTGAAGAGAGCTGTGACAACTTCCAATTTTTAATATATTAATTTGTTAGAGCAAATATAGATATTGTTGGAATAAAACTGCTCAACGTGTGCAGTATGTTCATTTGCTTACTGTGTTTCCATGTGTTAAGGCAGGATACTACAAATCCATCCAAAACCTCCATTTTCAGACAGCTGTATTAGTCCAGAGGGTACTTCTATGCTGAGTCTTGATACATTGGTTTCAGTTACCCAATGAATCATTTTGCACTATATTGTTTATGCTGGGGGAGGCAATTTTCTGTAAAGTGAAATTCAATCCATACCCCCTTGTCCTAGGTGAGAGTCAGTGGTTATTTAAGAGAGGCCAATATATTAGAACTAAGGAAATTCCTGATCTAACAATCATCAGCAGAGACCACTCAAATGAAGGCTGAGTGTGAGAAAAACCATCCTTGCTCTGAAGAACCATCATATCAAAAAAAGTAAAGCATTCTAAAGAGAGGGTCCTGGGCAGAGGAAGTAGGATGTCAGATTTTTAATGATCCCAGTAAACTGTACTGATACAGGACTGAAAGGCTCTGGGAGGTTTCCTGACTCACCTAACCAGCTTGAAAACAACTGAAGCCTTGTCTACTCCTTTATTTCAATCACCAGTGCAAACACACAACATGCACAAATGCTCTGCAGCATTATTTACACAAGGGCAGATCAGCCTGTTTTCAACAAGTGTAGTTTGTGTTAGCATAAGTTACACTACATTGGTGTAAGCCAGGGGTCAGTTACCCCCGGCACGCGTGCCAAGCATGGCACACGAGGCCATTTTCCTCGGTACGCATTGAGGCTGGGGAGGCAGCAATTATTTGCAGCCTTCCAGCTGCAGTGGACCCCAGCTCTGGGTAGTTCAAGGGTGGACAAAATATGGCCCGCGGGCCAGATAGGCTATCTATCTGGTTTGTGGGGCCCCTAAAAAAACTTAGAAAATTAATACTTATCTGTCTTTGGTTCCTGTCAAAAATGACAGGAACCAGGGGCAGTAGGACCCAGCGGAAGCCCAGTGGGCTCCCACAACAGCAGGGCCTGCCCGGCCCCACCCCCACAGCCACAAGGCCCCAGCAGAGGCTTTTGACCTGGGACCATGTAGCTTCTTAGGTGCGCCGGGCACCAGGGCCAGAACCTCAGGTAAAGTGTGGCGGGGGGAAGGACTGCAGGCAGGGAAGGAACCTGGGGAAAAGTGACCCCTCCCCTGCCCCATGGCTGGTACTCCCTGCTGTAGCTGTTTGCAGCCCACATGGGGCTGTCCTGAGCAAGCACAGGCAGCCTCATGCAGGCTGTAAGCAGCTGCAGTGCAGGGCACCGGGCACGGGGTGGGGAAGGGACCGCTTTTCCTATGCTCAGCACCAGCTTGTAGCCCGCCCCCACAGCCAGCCTGGGCCCTGCACCAGCTCCAGGCTCGCCCACCGGGACTGCGCCACAGTGGCAGCAGCCGCAGCCCCCCTGCTTGCCATGCCAGGCAGTGTTTACTGCTGCTGCCCACTTGGAGCTCGCATGCTGGGCAGCCCAGAGGTGGTGATGGCAACTACTGCCTGGCGCAGCTAGTGGGGGGGCCGCAGCTGCTGCACAGCAGCCCTGACAGGCAAGCCCGGAGCCAGCACAGGGCCCAGGCTGACAGTGGGGGCGGGTTACAAGCTGGTGCTGAGCATGTGAAAAGCAGCCTTTCCCCCACCCCATGCCTGGCACCCCACACTGCAGCTGCTTGCAGCCCACACGGGGCTGCCTGTGCCTGTTCAGGACAGTCCCGCGTGGACTGTGAGCAGCTGCAGCAGGGAGTGCCGACCATGGGGCAGGGAAGGATCGAATTTTCCCCCGCGCTCAGCACCAGCTCGTTCCCTGCCATGAAGCAGGGGGTTGGGCTGCACGCTGCCCCCCGCCTGTACCATGGGGTTGGGGGGGGTACTGGGAGTGAGCGGGTGCACAGGGCTCCCCGCTGCCTTGCCACACTTCCCCTGGAGGCAGGGGCAGCAGTGAGAGGAACAAATCTGCACTGCTGCCTACGCTGCTCCCATGCGTACAGGGGAAGTGTGGCAGGGCAGCAGGGAGCTGGGAGCAGGCAGCTTTCTGCACCCCGTGCTGTGCCCTGCTGCACCGGGTTCCAACGCTGCTTTGCAGAAGCGACAAGGGCAGCAGGGCAGGGAGCACTGCCGGTATGTGATGCCTCCCTGGAGCCAGGGCTGGGAGGCAGCTGGGGCCAGGGCTGGGGCCAGGGTGGAGAGGCAGCAGATGTTTACAACTGGCCCAGGTTCTGGGTAGCTGCTGACAGGTACAGAGCCCGGGCTAGGGGGCAGCAGGGCTGGGGGCAGAGGGCACAAGCAGGGCATCCTGCCATGTACCCCCTGCCCTCATTTGGTTTTTCTGGCAAGCCAGCACTCCAGCACCTTCCAAGGTAGGCATTGTGGGGTTTTTCAGCACTCTGGCCAAAAAATGTTGCCTACCCCTGGTGTAAGCTATCTGCAACAGGGGCTCACACTGGAAGGCTGGACAGCTGTAACAGAGGGTGAAATCTAGAGCTGACCAGGCCTGAGTAAAGTCTGGATACAAAGGTCAATCAAGTAGTAGAGGGGTGTCCCATTAAAACCAGAGGAGAAGGTAACTCCTTTTGCTCTGGTAGAGCATTAGGTAGTACAGTAAATACCATTTTACGCATCTTACAGGTAACAAGGAGTCCTATGCACAACACCTTCCATTTCAATGTATTCTGTTCAAAACAAAGGTTTGCAAATACTGCCCCAGAGAGCAGAGTACCATGGTCGTGTTCCCATGTCACCATAACAAGAGCCCCGGTACTGACATGAAAAATAAATCACTCATTTCTAGGAATGAGATAGGAATCCATCACCATGAGTGGCTGCATAACTGGCACTGCCAGTATAGACTAATTACAGTGCTAGTAGTCCAGTGTTGTGGTCATGCCTTCTGGCAATTGGAGGCAAACCAGTCACTTCACATGAGAAACCAAATGCTAGAGCTCTTGATCACTGGTAGCCCATCTGGTATTGCATTAAAAACATAGATACAAAGTATACCATTAATTCTCTAAACCATGAAAACCTGCTTAAAAATAACCCTCTCCCCAATTTTAGATTGTCAAACTAGACTTAAGGCTTGTACTACAAAATCATTCAGCATCTACCTCAGCTCACCCAGAACTTATTTATAGAGTAGCTCTCCAGCAGTCCTCCAGCTGTACAGCCCCATTAGCACTCTGCTGTATACTCACCTTGCTGTGTCAACTCTTAGCTTTTTAAAAGCCGTCTGCAGACTTTCCTCTTCTCCATCCTTGGCTTCTGTTTTCATCATCAGGATGCCTGATTGTTGACAAGTTACCATATAATGCTGAAAGCAGAGAAATCACATAAGAAAAAACACAAAAACCAGAGGCAACCAGTACGCTGAAAAAAGGTTGAAATGACTGTCTAGAAACAACATAACTCACTAGAAGTAAACCCAGTTATAAATCTGCATGTAGAAAGCACAAATCACTGTAATAAAAGCAGCTGTGAGCAAATTCAGGAAGAATTATGAAATACTTAAAAATGGAAGGGTCATCGCTTCCTCTGGACATATACACTACATCTCTACTGGGGACTCTCCTGGCGTAACTATGGCAGCAGCAAACCTGTAATGTAGAGGAGCCATATACCAGTCACCTTTTTGCAGGCCACTGGTAAACCATGGCTTAAGAACCGTTCTAGTGTCGCTTTTACTGCTTTTTCCTGTCAAGGTGATAATGTAGTGATAACAGCAAACCAGGTTACAGCATTAGTAAGTTTTATCAGATGTTCAGTCCAAATTTTTCCCCTCAGTTTTCAACTGAACATTGTTACACCACAGTATTTCAGAGTAACTATCCGTTATTAGCATTTTACCCTCAAAACTAGTTATCCCATGCCCCTTCTGCAATTACCTGTCCACAGTTGGATATAAATAAATGTTAAGAACAAGCCTGTGTGTTTAGTTTGAATTCAATACATGAAAACAAACAAAAAAACCCTCCAAAAAACTTGTTTTAAATTAGTTTTGAAATTGCAACAACTTCACTAGTGCTTAAATGTTCTAATACATAGCAATTATTTAAATATGTTACACTGATGATGAGTCTTCCTCACATTTTAATGAGATAAGGTGATTAATTTTTAATTATATGCAGATTCAGAGTGGGGACACCAACTCCATCTTCACCACTAGCAGTTACAAGGGCTGAATTATTTTCTGTCTTTGTAGTGAAACAATTGCTGGTGTTTAAATTCTGCCAAACAGAAGTACTTTCAGTGTGTTGTTGCTTTTATTGTTTCAGTCCAGCTGACCAATGTAGAACCCATATTTTCTTTAGTTGAGTTAATTCATTCAAGGTTGAGAAAATGATAGAGGTGCAACCAATACATCAGTCTGATATTGGATTCGTACAGATATAAAGAAAACTGGCTGCATCAAATATCAGCCTGATGGAGCCGATAATTTGGCCGATAAGCGCCCATGTTGTGCGCAACCGCAGCACAGCACTCAAGCAGCAAAAAGCAGAGCCGGCAGTGTGGAGAGCTGCCTCCAACTGGTCAGTCTGGTGTGGTGGAAGGAGATGGGGGAGGGAAGGGGCATGGGGGGGCAGATCCACACCCCCCACGATGAGGGAGGGGGCAGGGGCAGGCACTGCTTAGGTGGGGCAAGGGGTCCAGAGCCACAGCTCGTGGGGGGCAGGGGAGGAGAGAAGAGGAGGTAGCTTCCACTACTG